AAAAAAAAAAAAAAAAAAAAAAAAGGACCAAAAAAAAAAGTACCAAAAATTACACTAAAAGGAAAATTACTGAGAATTTTTTCCTTCCAACTATTTCTTTCCAGGCAGGATCATCACAGCAGGTAAGTATGAAAATATACCCTAAAGTTTTAAATGCTCTTAGAAAATACTTTATTAGAGGACACTCTATGAAGTCTACAGCTAAGCCAACAGGGAAGTGATAAGCAGCAAAATCAGTGACTTTCAAGTCTACCCCTTCTTCCTCCACCCCCATTCCTGTAAGACTTCAATCTTATCTGGAGTGTGAGGCTAGGGAAGTTTCTATGAGTACACACCCCCTAAGAAACTCACCATTGGTTACTACTTATCTCAAAATTGGCCAACTTGTCCAAACCGAATGACATGTACAAGAAGTACATAAAGATGATAACTTGCTATATTTACCATTTTAACGTTTTTAAGAGAATTCATACCAAAGCGGATTGAGGGCAGCTTTGCAGGTGGGCCTGCTGCAAAACACAGGTTCATACTGTACAGGAGGCAGATCCAGTCGTTCTTTCAAAGGAGTGAGGAGACAGGCCAGTGGGACCACCATTCGCGTGGCCTCCAGACGGCTGGATGGCCACAAATTCCAACTGAAGCGCACGCCATCGCGTTCTTCATTCTGCTGAATGAACTCCAGATATGTCGTCATCATCTAAGAAGGAACTAAAGAAAAAGCTTTAGTTGTATCTGAAAAGCTCATCTAAAACCTGAAAAAGATGGTCTTGTAGCAGTGTTTCTTCAATACTAAGTTAGGAAAGACTCGGTACTTAACTGTACGATAGTATCTACCTTTCCCCCAATCCCAAAGGTCAATTAATTCAGACTTGTCTTTTACTGCTGCTGTTTTCTCAACTCTTGTCTCTAGCACTTAAAAAATTAAAGTGGGAGGTTTACAATGATTTGACCATCTCTAATGCCATCGAATTTGCTACTATTTTAAGCCTCCTCACGGATCTCACCTCAGCTCAGACAAGGCAACTTCAACCCTCTGCCCATGGGGAAGTCTTGAACTCTGTTTCCACACCTATCTTTCTCTCTGATACCCTTCCTTCCTTACCCAACAAAGTACTGTATTAAACATTATGTTCCAAGTAATGGTGGTTTTTGGTGTCCTTTTCCCTTCCCATTTTGTTAACTATGGAGAAAAGTAGTACATCCTATCTGAGTCCAGTCCATTGCGGAATCAGTTCTGACCTAAAGTCTTTCTACTTTTGTCACCAAAATGACAGAGGAAAGTTTGTTATTATGCAAGTCACAATTGGACCTCCTTCCTCACTACAGCTGCTTGTGCTCATGTCTTGTAAGGCTATACCAAATAAAGTACTTCTCAGGCTACATCTTCTTTTTCTGTGTGTCGTGATGGGGCTAGAACGCAGTGCCTTGAGCATGCTAAGGGAAGAGTTCTGCCACTGAGCCACATCCCCAGCCAGACTAAGCTGTGTTTCTACACCTCTTATACAGGCCCTAAAATCGAAGGTTACAACATCCAAACAATTGAGATTCAAGGGAACAAGCCTCTCAAGAAAAGCAGAAAAGGAGCAAATTTTAAAATCCATGGTAATCGTGGAAGCAGCCCATATGCCCATTAACCACGAATGGATAAGGAAAATGTGGTATTTACACACAATGGAGCACTACTCTGCCATTAAAAGGTTAAACTTGAGTCATTTGTAGGAAGATGGATGCACCTTGAGACCATAATGTTCGGTGAAATGAATCAGACACACGAGCTTAAAAATAGTATGGTTTTGCTTATATGAGAAACCCAAAGTATAAATAAATCAAAGAGCAAAATAAAAGGTAACAGAAATAGGGAGATAGAACTTCTGGAAATGTGAAGGGGACTAAGAGATACAGGAAAAAGGAGAATGCAAGGGACTGTAATAGAAGTAAGATGTGTCCCATACATGTATCAACTTCCCACAGCGAATGTTTATGGCGCGGCACAAGCATACACTAATAAAACATACATCTGTCATACTAACGTGACCATCGTGCCCACTTCATGCAGTGCTGGGTAACAACTGTCTCCATGTTATTCTGAGAAGTGGATTAAAGCAATGATATTACCCAGCTAGAAAAGCAATCATTTATTCTACAAAGGACCCAGGCAACAAAAACTCCAAATGTGTGGTTCAACTCTTCTTTATTCCTGGCAAGAGCACGAATCTGAAACACTGCATACAAAGAGACTTTTCTGCAGCTTCCTGGAGAGTTCAGGGACACGGGGTGGAAAGGAGAGCAAGTTCTACCGCGGCACATATGACAGGCGCGCTCCCCTCTCGACATAATTCTTCATTATCTACATACTAAAACAGTTTCCTTCTCACTGCCACCTTCTCTTCACCCCTCCAGATCACTGTGTGTGTGCGTGTGGATTTAGGACAGGGTTACAGTGTGTACAGGGTCGCAGGGTCTCTGTGTAGATCGGACTCGTAATGATCCTATATACAGCCTCCCAAGTGCTGGGATTACAGGCGCGCGCCACCACACCCAATCTCAAACTACTGATTCTTAACCATGGGCACACAATCAAAACTTGAGAGGGTCCACTAATCCTCGGAAGCTGCATGAGAAACCGTGTGCAGGAGACAGTGTTCATCTTTCTAAGGAGATGAGTCTGTGGCTTTCCCCAAATTTTCTAACAGAGTATCTGAGAGGTGAACAGCTGAATGAAGCGGTGAGTGAAGGAAATGCCTGGAGAGACACAGCAGGGACACCACCGGGAAATCTGACCATTCTTATCTCGCTGAGACATAACTTTCAAGACACTGAAAACCCGCTTCGACAAGATTAAGAAAAATGTAATCCTACTCAGGAGTCTGACGACCGGGCTCAGCTTCCACCTGTCACAAAAACCTCCGGCGCGTTTCAATTATAAAACGGGGGTGGGTCCTTCCGACCAGAGGCTGGGAAGTCAGGACCGGGTCCTGGACGCCCGGCCTCAGCGGGGACGCTTCTCTTTCGCAGACTCCTGGCTTATCAACTCCCTCCGACTCCCCTGCCAGCCAGGAAAGGGGCTCATCCCAAAAGCAGCCCACCTCTCCGCGGCATTTGGTTTCCAGCCCTCTGTTGCCCGTGCCCGCCGCTCACCTGGTCAGCGCCGCTCACCTGCCCCGAGGCGTACTTGCCCACAGCGGCAAAAGTCCAGCTCCGGCTCCGGGTCCCTCCAAGTCCAGCTCAGCTCTCAGCCAATTGGTCAACGCCCATGATGTCACTCTACGGAGAAGTACATTAGCCAATCAAAGAGCGCATCCGGGCAGGAGCGCGGAAGTGACACATTCAAAGAAGCCACGCCGCCATGTTGGAGGAGGGCAAGACAGTACCGTCCAGCACTTCAAAACCACATTTTCCCAGAACGCACGCTTCCTTAAATGTACCTCGGAAGGTTTCAGTTTCGGAAAACCTCAGTGCCTCCGGGCCGCTCTCTAGATATAGTCAGCACTCCTGACGGGGTCGCCCTTTTACATTATGACGTCAGTGTGCATCAGGGGCTTCCCGCCCCTCTCGGCGCCTTAGATACCGGCAAGCAAGGACGATGACGTGTAACTCCGGACGTGGGAGCGGTGCCGCCGCGGGAGGAACCGGAGGCTGCCGGGAAGAGCGCGTCGGGGCGAAGGGAGGGCGTGTCCCGCTGCGCATGCGTACTGGCTATGGGTGCTGTATCCCTGTCTATAGACATTACAATACCACAAATCTAGTTCAACTTCACGCGACCAGATTTCCTCTCATTTGCTGTAGCGGCTTTCTAGGGAAACCAGCACTAGGACGGTGTCTACGTGACTCCCTGTCATCCTTAAACAAGGAGATCTGAGTAACTGAACGGTCGTATTTGTACAACTTTCCACACGTTGAAAGAGGCAGACAACAGTAGTTCACTGCGAAGAATGTAACCATCTGTACGAACAAAAATAAAACTAAAGGAAACGAGCCCGTTAAGCCTACTCAGACAGGGAGACCTTCTGGACCACATAAACCAAGAAGCTGCAGGGCGTGGTAGCCCACGTCTCTAATCCCAGCTGAGACAGGAGGGTTGTGAGTTCGAGACCAGCCTGAGCTACAAAATGAACGCAAGGCCAGCCTGCGTTGCACAGGGAGACCCTGTCTCAAAAAGAAAAAAAACAAAACCAAATAAGAAACCAAGAAGCAATACGATACGAGGCGCGACCGGTATGGTTGTCGACTCTTTAAAACGTACCGCAATAACAGACCTCCCCACGGATCGCGCTCCACGCCCCTCCCGTCCCGTCCAACCCGAGCACCCTCGTCCTGCCCCGGCCCCGGAAGTCCTGGAGCCCGAGGAGCGCGCAGGGCACCCGACCGCGCTCATGGCTGCGCCCCGCAAGGCGGTGATCGTGCCCGGGAACGGAGGCGGGGACGTGGCCACGCACGGCTGGTACGGCTGGGTGAAGAGGGCGCTGGAGCAGGTAGGAGACGAGGCCTCCCGGGATCCGCCGAGGGCCAGGGACAGCGTGAGCCGCAGGCTTCTTCCTCCTGTGCCGCTGTCTCAGACCCTGGCACTCATGGCTGAGATTCTGGTGGGCAAAACTGCTAGAAGGCTTTCTTGGGGGTGAGGTTATTAGAGTAAAAGGAACCATTCAGGATTACACAGATCTGCTGCTACCCGTTCAGATGTAGGGCTTCAGTTTTGTATCTTCTGCTTACAGCTCCGGATTTTTAAAAAGATTCTATGTAATATTTAATATATACAAAGCATGAATGCAACACGTAAGTATAAACCAAAAAACATGTAAAATCCGAGTAGGGATAACGCAGTGAATCACAAAATCATCCTGATATTTTTTGCTTCTGAAAACCTCATTTTACAACCCATGTGTGTACCCTGTAAACAATGTACTGTTTAATTTGGCTGTGAGCTTTACCAACGTGGTTCCCCATTATAGGTTGTCTTGTGCACCAGGATTTTGTCTTAAATCCCTTTTCCATATTCCGGCAGTTAAGAGTGCTTCCTGGGTTAACCCTAGAAGAGAATTTCAGCAGAGTAATACGTCCAATCGAGTCAATAAATGCAATTTAATAGGCCTCTGCAATAGAATTCAGGGTGTGGCTGAAAACCACAGGCAGAGCTTCAACCCAAAAGGTCTGTTGGGGTGGGAGGGTGCCCCCGGATTTCTGAACCAGGCTTCTGTGCCCAGGTTCATTAAGTCCCCGGGGCACTGTGAGCTTGGTTCTAGGTCAGCTCAGTCTGTCCAGAATACCTTCCCTTGTGCCCTCTCTATAGATACATGCATTAGACGTAGACACAGATGCGCAAAGGCACACAGTTCTCTGCAGAGATGTAGCAAGCTGACTAGATAAAAGAATACATGCAGATGGGTTTTATAAGGAAGGATGGTATATTCATGTGGAATCCAAGAGCACTTACTTAACCCACTTGATTTCATAATACAAGCAAGCAAGCAAACACTCAGTTGATAAAGATATCAGATGTTTCTTCATATTAGTAAAGTATTATTTGCAATTAAGCTCTTTATAACAGCTTTTTTCCTTCTTGTGCTATAGATACCTGGTTTCCAGTGTTGGACTAAAAACATGCCTGACCCAAGTAAGTTTTAAACTTGTTTTTCTTTTATTGCATTTATCATATTTTTTGAGACAGGGTCTCACTAGGTGGACAAAGCTAACCTCAAACTTAGAGCAATCGTCCTGCCTCAGCCTCCAAGTGCTGGGATTACAGACATGTGCCTCATGATGAGCCTTAAACTTTTTAAATGGCCTAGGTTAGTTGGGTGTTGAATTTACCATTTTGGGGTGCAAGGCAGAGAAGAGGAATACCATAGTAGAGAAGCCAAAAATAAATACATAACTACAAATGAATGAAGTAAATAGCTTTGGGAGGAGGATGTAAACCAAAACACGTGGAAAATGCTAGCCCAAGAAAAAGACCTGAGCTTGGTAAAATTTAATTTTAAATTCTGTGAGCAACCTAATTTTCTAGAAGTGGACTTTTCAGGTAAAATCTGTGGGTGTTCTAGTTCAGGCAGAGATATGCTACAACTTTACAGTCTGAGATCCTAATACATAAAAATGTAGGGGACTCTAATTTAAAAAGCCCTAGGGACTAGAAAAGAGCCTAGCATAAGGCAGATGCTCCCTAAGTATTTGTTGGCAGTAGGGACTGTTACCCCTGCCTTCCCTATGGCAACCCCCCCAGTTCAGGGGTGCTCTCCATTGGAGCCCTAACATTTAAAAATATAGCTCAGCGGCATCTAAGCCTGCCTGGCAAGTACAAGGTCCTGAGTTCAATCCCTGGTACCAAATAATAAAATACATACTAGTGTTCCTTTTGCTCTGGGTGTGTTTGTGACTTGTCTCTGGAAAGACAGAGAACTTTAGAATAGTGTCAAGAGAGGTTTTTTGTTGATTTGTTTTGGTTTTTTTCTGTATTTAGCACAGGGTTTCACAGGGTCTTACTACATAGATCGGACTTGTGATCCTCCTGTTTTCAACCTCCCAAGAGCTGGGATTACAGGTGCGCCCACACTCAATCTCAATCCAATCGCCTTCTCAGCGTGCCCCACAGGCAGGGCCAGCACAACATGCCCAGGGATCAAACCCCAGCCGGTGGGCTCTGCCTAAGCAGGCGCTGTAGTCCACTGAGCTATCAGGCTGGCCCTATCAACAGTTTTTAAGTTTGAAAGTAGACATTAAAACTTCTAAATTATACCTTTATTCTTTTAGTATTTTTAAAACAAAAATGGAAAAAAAAAGAAAAAGTAAAACTACTCAAACTACAGATTTAGGTCTTTCAACCGGCAGCACATAAATCTGAGCCCCCCTCCAAACAGCCTCAGCCTGTGGCCATTTGTGCGGCCTAAAGGAGTCCAGAAGCCAGGGAGCAGTGTCTATGAGAGGGTGGGGTGACATTAGGCCAAGACTGCCCCTATCGAATGACTTTGTCACCCTGAACCCCAGTTACAGCCCGGGAGAGCATCTGGCTGCCCTTCATGGAGACGGAGCTGCAGTGTGACGAGGAGACCATCGTCATCGGCCACAGCTCCGGCGCCATCGCAGCCATGAGGTGTGTGCTGTGGGCACTGCCCCTTCGTGAGCCCAGCTCACCTTTTCCAGTGGGGACCTCAGGGGTGCTAACCAGATCTGCCTTAATTCCTTCCTGGTTTGAGTGGGGGTCTGAAGTAGTAACTGCTCAAACTAGGATGCAGTGATCCTTCTCAAACCCTAGCAGCTCTCAACACTGCCAGCCACCCACTCCCTTCTCTCCTGCCAGCTAGAGCACCTGGCCACTGTGCAAGAAACAGTAGACACATCTGCTCTATCTCTAGAACGTTCCATCATCTGATACCCTTATTTCTTGTCTGTCTCCTGCCACTAGAACATAAGCTCCACAAAGATGAACTTGTTAACTGTGAGACTGAAACCCTAGGGACTAGAGAGCCTGGCAGATGGCAGATGGCCCCTAAGTATTTGTTGGCAGTAGGGACCGTTACCCCTACCTTACCTATGGCAAACCCTGAGTTCAGGGGTGCTCTCCATTGGAGCACTGTGGCTCCCTACGTAGCTCAGGGGCAGGGGACTTCCTGGTTGAGCTGGCCTGGTGGGGTTGGCTTCTCCCATGTTCCCTATGCTGGATGACAAAGGATAATAGTTTTATTTGTATGGCTGCTGATCCCCAGCAGGCACTCAGGGTATCACATGACCTGCAGATCAGAGAATCTTGCCAAATCCCGCAACCTTTCAGCCAGAGTGATCAAAGCTATGGTAACAGTAGTGGCTTGGAGCACAGAGCTACTCCACTGTGGTATAGTCCTGGCCTACCGGATGCTAATAAGCTGCCAGAGCTGTCTGGAAAAGAGGCAGGCTGTATTGCTGCAGTCTGTCCCAACTTGAGCCTGTTCTCAAGCCACTGGGGAAGATTGGCCTTCTGTATAGGACTTTTTTTTTTTTAGCTAGCTCAGGTTGCCTTAAGGTGGGTCTGGTGAGGTTGTGGAGCTGGGGATCAAACCATGGTCCCCTGCGCCTGACTTGAGTTTGCTCAAGCAGGCGCTTTAAACAACTGAGCTAACCCGCAAGTCCCCTGGCTTTCTGTATAGGACCCCTGAGTTTACTGCAGGGTTGGCAGCAACCTTTTAAGAGCTGACTGCTGGCTTCTTAAAGCAAGGGAGTAAAGGAAAGAAGCAGATGTAAAACCATCACAGTAAGGTTTGGGGTTTTTTTGTTTTGTTTTGGGGAGAGGGGGCAGGACATGGATACAATCACAGGGGACCTCCATAGATTACTGGTGAATCACGAAGTGGAAACTGCCCTGGCAATGGAGAGCACTGGAGAGAGAAGCTCAGGTGACCAGACCTAATGTCTCCAATAACACAGACTGGCTCTGTCCCTGAAGAGATGGAGTGGGAAGGACAGGCTGCCACCTAAGGAGTGTGCTTGCCAGGAGTGTTTAACCTCAGTCTAATTATGAGAAAAACAAATCTAGATTAGGGGGTACTATACACAACAACTGTCCTAAGCTCTTATTAAACAAGATCAGCATAAAAAATGGAAACGTGATAAAAAGTCACAAAAACCAAACAAGTGCATGGTCCATGACTGGACCCAGGATGGCAAAACCAGTTTTAAAGGACATTTTTGGCATAATTGGGAGAAAAACAGATGCAGATACTACTACTGTGTCAACATTAAATTTGTTGGCTATAATAATGGAATTGTGGTTATATCAGAATACAATTCCTTGATAAATACTAAAGCAAGAGTGAACTGAATTTAACAAATCTAAGTACTCTTGGTCTTTCTATTTGTTGTAAGTTTGTTTTTTTCAAGAGTAGAGTTAGGAATAGAAGGCTGGGGAGATGGCTCAGTGGATAAATGCTTCTCTGGCAAGCACAAGGACCTGAGTTCAATCCCTGGTTCTGCAAATAAAATTAAAAAAAAAAGAAGAAGAAGAAGAAGAAGAAGAAGAGTTAGGAATAGAAGTGTAGGCCCAAGAACAAAACGCTGACCCCAAGTGTTTCCTGACACAGGACACTTCTTGAAACTATCCCATTCAACACCTCTCCTTAGCCTGGTCTTTGCTGAGCAAGGTAATATGTTCAGTTAGTCAGGTACCACTTGCTGAGCAGCATACTGGGGACCAAGACTAGTAAGGCTCAGCCCACAAGGAGCTGATGGTTTAGTGGGAGACAGATGCAGCACAAGTGAATAGTAATACAGGGCCACGTGGAGTATGTGGAAATACAGGTTCATTTCTGGTATTTATTTCTTCAAATATGGTTCCCAGACCACTAGTATTAGGTGGGTTAGGGAAGGCAACATGTCTTAAAATGCAGATTACTGGGCCCCAACTCCAATGCCTCTGGGTCTAATGCTCTGGAGCTTAGCCTGGGAATGAGGGAGGCACTTACCAGAAAGAATTGTTACATAGCTTTTGCTTGTTGAGGAAAGGAATGCAGAACAGGTCTGGGCTACCTTGAAAAGGAGTAGTTTAGCAGAGTGTGGTAGTTCACACCTATAATCCCAACACTGGGAGGCTAAGGCAGGAGGTTCACAAGGTCAAGCCCAGTCTGGGCATCTTAGCAAGATCTCATCTCAAAATTTTAAAAATTTGTAAAGGGCCTATGGATAGAGTTCAGTGCAAAGGCCATGGGTGTGATCCCCTACTATCACACACACACAGCAGGAGCTCATCAAGCAGCTGTGGTTGTGGCTCTATCTGCAATCTCTTTGCCATTTTTCCATTAACCTCAATACCCTGTGATGCCCGTTTTCAGCAAACTCTGTCAAGTGAGTTATAGTTTGTTGACTTGTAGGGGATCAGATGTGACCTCTCTTGGCTGACCCCCACCCCACTTTTCCCTCTCCAGGTATGCAGAGACCCATCGTGTCTATGCTATTGTGTTAGTGTCTGCATATACATCAGACTTGGGGGATGAAAATGAGCGTGCCAGTGGTAAGTCTAAAGTCGGAAAGCTCCATAAAGCCCTTCTCCTGACAGAGGGCTGCATGGGTTATAAAACAGGCCCAGCTTTCAGATAGCAGAAGAAAAACAATCTAATAGCGCAGAAACACTTCATCTATCTCTGGGCGTAAGCCAGGTCTGGACATGTGAGTAAAAGTCCAGAGGGCCTCTTTCCAGCCTAAAGCCTAGAATTGAACCCTAGTCTTCACAAGAGCTAAGTATCAGTGTCCAGACACAAACAGAAAGTGCCTCAGACTCACAGGAGGGCTCTGGTCCCGTTGTCTGCAGGGTCCCCACAAGGTATTCTAGGGTGTCAGGGAAGGGTGATACCCCTGGGCACTGAAGGTTTTTGGGGGCAGAACCAGGGATTGAACTCAGGCCCTTGCGCTTGCCAGGCAAGCGCTTATTCTACTGAGCTATCTCCCCGGCCCCTTAACTGAGGTTATTTTTATCCCCTCTAGGATACTTCAACCGTCCCTGGCAGTGGGAGAAGATCAAGGCCAACTGCACTCACATTGTGCAGTTCGGCTCCACGGATGACCCTTTCCTTCCCTGGAAGGAACAACAAGAAGTGACAGACAGGCTGGGGGCCAAGCTGTACAAATTCACTGACCGCGGCCACTTTCAGAACACAGAGTTCCATGAGCTGATCAGCGTGGTGAAGTCGATGTTGCAAGTGCCCTCATAGTCCAAGGGCTCCTAGCATCTGCATCCCAGGGGAGGGAGGGCGGGGATACACGTAACCCTTACCAGACGTCACACAGTTGCTGGAAGTGTCTGAAAGCACACGTTTCCATGGGCACTCTTTAAGTCACAAACAGCATTTCCATTTTCCACAGAATCTAAGTTTCCCCAAACTGCTGTGACCTACAGCCATACCTCTTCCATGGATAAGGGACCTAAAGACAATTTGTCCTTGTTCATCTGAAGAGTAAGTCAGAAACAGAACCCAGGTTTCCTGGTCTCAGTCCAGATGAAATCTGAACAGGTTTTCACATGTTGGAGACCTATAATCTCTTCCTCATAGAAATAAAACTTTTATTAGGGAAAGGGAATGTGAGTAAAGGTCCAGAGCATTGCTTAGCACTCAGGACATGACTGCTGTTTCGGCTGGCCCAGGATATTAAAGCTTTCACCAGTGACACTGCCCACTGACCCTACTCCTTCGAACAGGGTGAGAGCACAACACACAGGGAGGCTGAGTCAGGCAGTGCCTGGGTCAGGCGGGGAACAGAAACACAGCCTCACATAATACCCCACTAATAAGTGACAGATTTGTACAGGGTGAGGAGTGCAATCAAGGCCATGAGAGCCCAGCGCTCGGCTGAGCTGCTGTCATGTGTAAACGTGATAAGATCTAGCCAATTTTCTGATTTTTCTAGGGAAAAACTTCATCCTGTCGTTTTTAAATTTGGGGAACACACATACATGTATCCACAACCCTCATATCCAGGAAACCACATTGTGAGTTAAAAATTTTGCAAGCAGTGTGGCAAGATCCAGGTCATCCATTTGTGACCATGGCCACAAGCATTAACTGACACAGGTGCTTTGGGGTAACTCTATAATGACCAAGAAAAGCCTAAGAATATAAAAATGAGCACGTCAAAGGATGAAATACATGGCAGCAATTTGAAGTTGGTTATTCTTTTCATTTTTTTAAAAATAACCTTCTTCCCAAAACCAGTAAACAGAAAGTAACCTTTCCAACCAGGCATAGCAGTGCTCACCTATTACCTAACACTCTGGGAGGCTGAGGCAAGAGAGTCAGAAGTTCAAGCCCAGCCTGGGTGATTTAGGGAGACCCTGTCTCAAGATAAAATATTTTAACAAGGGCTAGGGATGTAGCTCAGTGTGAAAGCCCTGAGTTTACTCCCCAAATACCACAAAAACAAACAAATCTAAAAAGCAACATCCTTTTATGTTTTGTTCTGCAGAGTTCAACTTTTTAACTTCCTAAAGAGCTCTTTGAATAATTCCATGTTTTTTTTTCCTATCATATGCCTGAAAACAAAACAAACCAAAAAAAACCCCTTAATTCCCAGTTCCTAAGAATTGCCTCATTTTCCACTGAATTCACACTTGATGTTGAGGAATTTGGGTCTGAGGCAGAAACAGAATTTCCTAGACTGTTTATGCTTAGAGGATTCAGAGCCACCTTAAGACAGAAAGTCTTACGGTTTTTAGACATGATCATATAAAGTCTGGAAAAGACGTGAACTTTTAACACCAGTTATCTTGGGGAATGAGAATTCGGCAAGTATAGTACGATAAATATCCTCATTTTACTTTTATACCAGGGAATTACGTGAATGTTACACTAAACATGTATTCTGTAATTAAAATTTGACAAGTTAGTAAAAAGCAAATTAGATACACTAGTAGAATGTTCTTAGAGATTGATTAGCACTGATATGACCAAACTTACAATCAGAATTTAACTTTACTTGAATCATGTGGAAATAGTAATTGAATTACTCTCTGCTTTAAGTTACTTTAAAAAACTATAAATGCATAAAACAATAATTGTTTATAATACTTTATTGTCTTTTTTCTTTATAGGAAAAAAATCTAAATAATACACAAGGAAGAATTAATCCTGACAGTCTGCATTCCTCCCATAATTAACGTAAGCCCCCAGGATTTCTGAGCTGTGCTGCCCAGCACAGTAACCACAGGTAGAGGAAGTGAAAAAGTGCAAGATTCAGTTCAGTTCCCCAAGCCATCTCTGGTGCTCAGCAGGCCTGCTGGCTTGTAGCTGCCTCCCTGGATGGCAAGGACAGGGCACTAAGTCCTTTTTGTAAAAAGTGTCTTCAGGGCCAAGGATTTAGCTCACTGGCATAGCACCTGTCTGATAAACATGAGGTCCTAAGTTCAATCTCAGTACCAAAACAAAGTATCTTCGTAAGATACTCCTAGGGCCAGGGAGATGGCTCAGTAGAATAAGTGCTTGCCTGGCAAGCGCAGGGTCCTGAGTTCAATACCTGGTACTGAAAAAAAAAAAAAAAAAAAAAAAAGATAGTCCTGTATGTCATTTTATAAGACTGAATCTAAACTGCTGAAATGGGGCTGGAGAGATAGCTCGGTGGCATAAGTACCTGCCTGGCAAGCACAAAGTCTGAAGTTTGATCCCTGGTACTGCATGCTATGTGGGCCCCAAAAGTGGGCGTGGTGATACTTGTCAGTATTCTTGTTTATATCTCTTACATTTCAATCCCTACAGGCAGAAATGAATCGGACATATTAGACTTAAACACTTTTTTGCTCCAGCCATTACCACAATGCTTGATAAGCTTTTGGCTTCTTTCTCTGAGTCTTCCAAAGTCTTGTGAGTGTCAAAGGCTGGGACCCCCCCAGAGCTGGAGCGGGCTTTTCCAGAGCCTGGCCTGTCCCATTTTCTGTGGCTATTCTACAGGACACATTTAGTCTTCGTAAGGTAAAGACAAAAGCCTTCACAGCAGCAAGTCTGTTTCTGTTAATGTGAAGTATGTTTTCAAGGAAATTTGAAGTTCTGTTATGAATTCAATTAGTTGCTCTTGAAGTAACATCATTTGCAAAATGTCAGTGAAGTTCAGAGCCCTTTATTAAAATTCAAGCCACTCTGTCATGTAAATACAGTTAGAAGGTGAAATCTCACCACCTTCATGGCAGTCATCAAAGACCTTTAAAAAAAAAAAAAAAAAAAGTTTACATCCAACCTGACCCATCCATCCAAGACCCAACCATCTACTTGCAAACTGAAAAGGATTACAACTGTTTACTATGAACATACTGTAACTGAGCCTGCTCATGAGCAGGTAGTGCATTTACTGCAGCATCAAGATGAACATGGCCACAGCACATAGCGGAGCACTATGAGGGAGACCTATGCATTGTTGACTAGCTCATTGCTCATGTGTAGCTGCTTCCTTCCCATGAAGAATTCTGGACACAATTCCCAGTATGAGAAGCCTTTTAGCTAAAAGTTGAAACCAGGACATGGAGCACTTAGCATACAAATGGGGAATAGGACTTCAACATACAGCTCAGACGAAGAAGCCTAAGAATTTAATGCCATGAGGACCAGACCTTTCTTGTTCTCTCGTGGTCTCAGTGCCTACAGCACATGGTGCAAATCTAGCAGCCGGATGTGAGTGACAGTGTGTGCTAGGCCATGCTGGGAAAGATATTACTCTGAGTTTGACGAGCTTCTGCTGTGCCACTGGGTTGTATCCCTCACCCCAAGTTCCCTCCTTAGGGGAAATAACACCCCTCACTTCAAAGATCAGCAGGATTCAATGAGACCACGTATGAAAATCATTAAGAAGAGCCTGGCCCATGATATGTTCCCCAGCTCTCACTTCCTTCCCCATTAGGTGAAATGATTAGTCCTCATCAAAATGGGCATTACAGGACCAAGGGCAAAAAATGCAACTATCCTTAAGCTGATTATTCCATGAAAGATGTAATGACTTTTTTTTCAAAAGGTCTGTTTATCAAGGATATATGGAAGTTCTAACAGCTCTTGATCAACCCTGCAAGTCTGGGGAAAACAGCACACTTGCTGTTTCTTTAGGCAGCACGTGTGCCTGGTAGTAGCCGAGGGTTAAGTGAAATCACTTAGCTTACCGGACAGAGTCCGCAGGGCGCCCTCACCAAGCCTGTGGGTGGGATGATCGGACTGACTGCCCTGTACAGTTTCATGTGTCCGTCTACGCTGCCAACTGTGCCTTCTTTGGCAGCAATGATAGTCATCTCCACTTTCCCATCATAAATAAGGGTGTTCAAGATGGTTTCAATGTCCTCCATGGACAACTCTACCTAAAAAGGAACTCATTAGAAGGGACACAAGGATGAGGGGACACCCTTTAAGGGGTGTTAAAAACAAGTCCAGGTGACATGAGGAAACATAATGCTGCAGAAGTCATGGAAAGTAAACAGGGTGACAATGGTTGGAATCAGCACAAACCAGGGGCAAGTTAGGGACAGAGTCCAACCACACGCTGAACCTGTTCTGGTGTCACCAGCTTTAAGTAACTTTCTTTTTAATGCAGTGATAGGTATTGAATCCAGGGCCTCACACATGCTAGACAAGTCTCCTACCACTGAGCTACATCTCCAACACTTTAGTTTATTTTCCTTCTGGATCTTGCAAATTTGCCTAGCTGACCTTCAACTTGTAATCTGCCAGCACCAAGAGTACTGAGTAGCTGGGATTATAAGATGTGCCACCACACCAGCCCTGAAGTAACACATTTTTGACAAAAATGTGATGGGAAGTTCTAAAATGCCTGAGCAGAAAGAGAGACTAGCCAACAAATAAGTTCTGCCAGGCATAATGGTGCACATTTGCAAATGGTACTGGGAGGCTGAGGCAGGATTACTGAGAGTTCAAGACCAGCTTGGACTACAGAGATCAAGGCAGCCTGAACTATATAGTGATACCTTGTCTCAAAAAAAAAAGATTGGGGATGTAGCTCAATGTGAAGGACTTAGATTCAATCCCTAACACCATACACATGCACATTAAAAACAAAAAAAGAAAGAAAATGAGACAAAAAACAAATAGAAAATCCCAAATAGTCAAAGTTCCTGGTTCATTATGAGACAGAAATCTGGGTACCAGGAAGTGCAAATGACCTATCCAAGTGACACCTGAGTTCTGTTGATTAGGACATGTCCCTTAAATGGACATGCTGATGACAGCACTTAGGTCTTCTAAGAAAGGAAATCCTAAGGAGAAAACTGCTGGTGATAAGTGACGAGGAATCTGCTACTGTGCACACTTGCCAAACTGTCCCCAAGAAAGTCCCAACTCTTGGAGTCCACCACCTATGTTCCCAGCTGAAGGACAGAGCAGACTGTGCCTGATAAACAGTGTTTCTCCTGAGCGGGTTCTGGGGAACGCTCATGTCCATCACTGAGAAAGGGTCTGGGTCAAACACGACAGGAACACGCTGTCAACTGCATCCATATGATGAAGGATGATCATGCTGAAGGTAAGTTCTACTTGAAAAGTTAAAGCAAGCTCTGACCTTACTGATCCCCAGTTCACAGATGTATTTCCACACTTCATGTGATGATGCAAAGGAACTATTTCTCTGAATCATTGGGTTCTGTTTGCTTTCTCGGGCTGTTTCTGCCTGTAGGATTGAAATATAAGAGATCTAAGCAAGAATACTGAGAGTGCTTTCTTTTTGTTGTTTCTCTTTTGGGTTTTTTTTGAGACAGGGTCTTGCTCTGCAGTTCAGACTGGCCTTGAGCTCACTTTGTAGCCCTGGCTCCTCTCAAACTTCCAACACTACTCCTGCCTCAGTCTCCCAGTGCTGGGATTACAGACGTGCACCCCTAAGCCCGGCTCTGGCAGTGCTTTCACAATACAGTTTATATGTAAGCCAGCAGCACATACTATGTTCAGTAGAAATAACCAACGTCCACATTTTAGATTCAATCATACAAAAATATATATAAGACAATATCTTTTATGAAGAAACTTTTTCATTTATTTTTATTTTTTTTTTATTTCTTGCTCCAAATGCCTTCAGGGCAGGTTTGGCTGGCTTGAGTTGTGGGGATTGAACCACAGCAACCTGAACCTGACTGCTTTGTTGAAGCAGCCACTTAAAGAACTGAGCTAAGGGGCAGGCCCCCTGAAGAAAATTTTTTAAAAAGGACTTGTGACTTCCTTCAATTCTATTGCCTCACCTTCGACTGTAGGAATTTAAAACACTGTTGGTTGAGCACCTCTACGAATTCAGATTCAAAATCCTGGTCACTGTACCAGGCCCCGCCAGTCACAGACCGGTCTGGCTGCAGGTTATACAGCATGTACACTTTCTTTTTGGAGGCCTAGGGAAGAATATGCACAGTGTATTTAGAACAGTTTCTAAAAATTATTTTTAAAAAGCTACAACAATTTTAGATAAACAAATTATTCCTATAATAAATACTGTTTCCTCTATTATTAACATACTGAATTAGTACTGCACACTTGTGACGATTAGTGACCCACCTTCTTTTCTTTTTAAGGTGAGGTCTCACTAATTGTCCAGGCTGGTCTCCAACCCAGGGACTCAAGACAGCCCAGGTACAGGGACTCCAGACTCTCCTGCTGCACCCACCCTGACTGCATGAGCAGCTGAAGCCCACGCTTGCTCAAATTTCATCAGTTTTTCCCTAATGACCTTACTCTGCACCAATATTTCTTTGTTTGCTTTTTTTGTTCTGTTTTGTTTTTTTTGCAGTACCAGAGATCGAGCTCGGGACCCTGTGCTTACCAAGCAGGTACTTACACCGCTGAACTCTCTCTCGAGCACCCCCTCACTCTGCTCCGGGATTCCACCCAGGGCACATTACATGCGGCTGCCATCTCCTTAGGCTTCTTTCAGGTGTGGCAATTTCTCACTTAGTATCTACAAGGACTCATGATATTTCCCATGTAGTATGAGTTCTAATCCAGTACTACTTTGTTATTCCAACTGTTTCAGTTTTAGCCATGGACACTTTTCAGTTGGTCCTGTGTACCTCTGACATGCCCCATCATAACGCATGTGTATGTATGCATGCACGTGTCCATACTAGCACTTTCTATGTGACCTAATGTCAGGAGCAGCTTATGTACTTCCTAACGTAAGTCCTAGAATCAGTCATTACTCCAAGGAGTCCTGGCTCACTTTATTGGAAAACAGTACTAGAAACCAGGACTTGACCATTAGGTATGTTCGCAGCTCATTGGTGCTGCTGCTCCCAGGCCTTCTCAGCTGACTGGGTGAAGAGATCTGTGTAGCCACCAACTACTGTATATAAATATATATCAGGAATATGTCTACAGGAACTACCTACACTAAACCAAGTATAGAGCTTTCTCAGCTCTAATTCATCCACATGATCATCCTAGCCTCTGCCCCTTGTTTACTCCTAACTTCCTACTACAACAGTAAGAAATCTGAATCTCACTGTTGTTTCATAAGGAATTGGCTAGTCTCCCCATTCCTGTTAAGTAACCTCTACGTTTTGGGAACTTCCCAATATGAGGACCTTGTTATTCATGGAAGGTCCCTTGTACTACAGCTGGGTCTATGCTGACAAGGTGGCTCCTGATGGGTCCCTAAGTGGCTTTAGGATGGGAGTTGTCCATGCAATTAGAGGGTTGGAGCTTTGAGCCACATGAACTCAGTACATAGTCATTTAGGCTAGTTTTAAACTCAAGATTCACAAGCCTCAGTCTCTCAAGAGCCAGAATTACATTTGAATCACAACATAAGTCCATGAATAAAATTTGAAATATACTTGCAACAACAAATGTAAGTGAACAGTTTGAGGGAAAAAATAGCTACTCACCGCTACAGATTTAACAGCTTTAATAAGTTTTTTACTTTCCAAATTCTTTAGAATTTTGTTGATTTCTGTTAATGGCAAGTTACTTTTATATCGAATATCTCTGCTCCATATTCCTGTAACAAAGTAAAGTTCATGAATTATAGACTTTTATTTTCATTCCTATATGTATTTCTCATTCCACAACTATCGAAATATGGGCTGAGGAGATAGCTCGGCAGTCTAACCACCTGCCTGGCAAGGGCAAGGACCCAGGTTCGATCCCTGGCACCAAAACCTCAGGCACACTGTGCCAGCCACCAAAACCAGGCATGATGGTGCACACCTGTAATCCCAGTGCTGGGGAGGCTGATATAAGAGGATCACTATGAATCTGAACTGCGTAGTGAGACTCTATGTCAAATTAATTAATTAATTAATTTTAAAACAAAACTGTTGAAATAAAGCTAATAGCAAATCCCTTGACAAAATGTTTCTTCTCCTCCAGTCCTAGAAATGAAGCCTAGGGCCTCTACCCCTTTTATTATTTTGAGATGGTCTCACTACACTTGATCTTAGCCAAAAAGCCGAGATGCGATAGAGATGGTCTCACTAAATTGACCAGTCTGGGCTCAAACTTGTGATATTCATGCCTCACTCTCCCAGAGTGCTGAGATCACAGATGCATGCCACCACACCTAGTGACATACACAGTCTTGGCGCAGTTTGTCAAGAGGGTTAGAGAATGCCATGCTGCATTATGCGTTCTTTTGCTCCTTCCTGAGGCATCATTATCCACAATTTATGCCAACATAAACGAATGGAGGTTCGCAAAGTTTAAATGACTCCTCCAGGTTACTGCTATGGCTTAAATGTTTCCCTCAAATTTCATATGTTGGAACTCTAATCTACAAAGCCCTAAGTTAGTGGCACTTGAGAGGAGGCACCTGTGGGCAGCTGTGTTCACCAAATTATCCCTTGTGGAACTCCATACAGCAGTCCCCCCAGCAAGAAGGCACTAACTAGAGGTGGCCCGGGCCTTGAGACTTGCTAGCCTCCAGAACAGTAAAAGGCAAATTTCTTTTCTTTATAAAATTACCTCATCTGTAGTATTTAACTAGGTAGCAACAGAAAATGGACTAAGATAGTCATACAGCCAAAACATAACAATTAAAAAAATAAGATTAAGTTTTCAAAAGGTAATGCATACATATGACACAGAATTCAGAGGTTTCTTCCTATCTCTGGTCATAAAACAGTGACACCATTGGCTGTCCTTCAAGTTAACACATTTTAGGAGTATTCTCTCTGTCCCCTCCCTCCCTTTCATAAGAACAGCAGCAGGACACTCTAGCCACTTGGTCCTTCACAGGCTTACCTTTATTTCCTGCATCCTCTATGATCTGATAGACCAGCTTTTCCTGGTTATCCGATCCTTTCATTTTACTGCAGAAGAATAAAACAGAGTTAAGAAAGGAAAAGGGCAAGATTAAACTAATAATCTACATGACTATGTAAATGAATCTGCAGACAAGGCCACCACAGTGGCTTATTTACTAAATGGGCTTACCTTAAAAAGAATGAGACAGAGCTGTATGTAGCAACATGAAAAGATGTCCAAGATAGTAAGTGAAAAAAGCAAGTTACAAACAGTATGGATAGCATGATCCCATTTTTGTTTAAAAACAAAAAAGAAAAGAAAAAGAAAAGATTATATATAAATATATAATCATCCATGAGTATTTATTTCTATATATTTAGCTAAAAGGACACATACACATTGCTAAGGTTACCCTGGGAAATGGAACGTGTGACAGGAAGCAGGGATGATACACAGGACAAGTGACATTACAACAGGCTTGTATCAGCTTTTTTTCTAACACACACATAACTTTTGGGATAATTACAATTTTCTTAAAATTGAAAAGACAGGTGCTTACCCAGCATTCTGAGAGTCCTTTATTCTGTATAAAAGGCCTGTACTACTCCTTAAGAGATCCAACTGACCCTGAGGGGTTTTTTTAAACAGAAAAAAGAAGTTACATATTTTGAAGATAAATCAAGTCCAACATCAAATGTTAATGCATTAGCATTTTTTATTATACACATTAAAATACCTACATGCTAAATCCTGGTTTAGTTACATGACCAATAAATTTAAAAAGTTTAAAGGAACTTTAAAATAATGACTCAAACTAAGATTCACTTAATATATATATATGGGTTCTATCTAGATGTCCCCCTAAAGCCTCACGAGGTCACAAGTGGGGCTTTTCAGAAGCAGCTGGACCTACAGTGCGGTGCTGGGATCAAGGATGATGCTAGGATGGATTCATGGTCCAACACTAGGATTCAGGCTGCTACCTTATGGGTGTGAGTGCTACCTGTCCTACAGGTGGGTAGCCTGTACAAAATACAAGGGACAGAAAGAGGGCTGCTGCTTTCTGCTTGTCACTTACTGCCTGCTGCCTCCTACCTGCCTGTTTCTCCTCTGCCAGGTCACCCTGCCTTGAAGCCAGCTGATCATGAAATGAAAACCTTTACAAACTGTGAGCAAACTGGCAAGCAGAAGGTCTTGAGTTCAATTCCAGTACCAAAAAATGAAATGAAAATAAAAAACTGTGAGCGAAAATAAACCTTTGCTCCGTTCACTTTGGGTATCAGGTATTTTGTCCCAGCAATAAGAGAAAATATAAAAGAAATAAATGTAACAAAAGTTAAAACAATTTGCTTAAGCTGGATATACTGTCACATATCTGTATAAAACCAGCAGCTGGGAGGCTAAAGCAGGAGGATCATGAGTTTGAAGCCAACCTGGACTACCTAATACGACCTTGGCTCAAGTAACCAAAAAATAAAATAAAATATAATATAATATATATATATATATATATATATTTAAATAAAAAGTTCAAAGAAGGCTCCACAATTAAATGCGCATTAATATTTAATAGCACAACAATGAAACTATAAATAGTCACATTTACTGATGTATATAATTTTTATTAGATGAAAACTAGGTGCAAAGGCCAACTTATATATAAAAGGCCCAAGGTAGAATTATTTTTATACCAAAAGCAAGACAAAGTATATTCTGCCATGCTTCTGAGTTTCACTGGCTCTCACCTTAGGAGAACCCACGTGGCTGAGAGAGCCCCATTTCCTGTTAGGCCAAGAAGACGGAAGACTTAAGGACTGATTTACATATTACATGAACTGCCACCCCCCAACTCTACCAATACCAAAGTGAGACTGCGAAGATCAATGCAGAGGCTCCCCTTGGTCATTTCTTCAGCCTATGAACATGTAATGAATACCTCTATTGTGCCAGGTGCTATGACAGTTCATTTGGGAGGAAAAACATACTTTTTGAAGGGTTTTTTGTTTTTTGTTGGGTTTTTTTTTGCTATGCTAGGAATCAAAGCAAGGGCCTCACTCACGCTAAACCACAACTCCAGCCCTCAGCAAGCAAATTCTAACAGGGAAGCACATAACCAACTTCAACACTTCCAGGCGGGCATTAAGAAAGAGCTAAGGGTAGGAAGCGACTCAGGGAAGTATCTATGGCCCACACTGGGTCTCTGAGTGGCTTTCTGGAGACAATGACAGAGCTGAGTTCCACAGGATCACTAAGATAAGTGCAAGGAGAAAGCAAAGGGCCTTGCAAGAAGGGAGGACAGCATAAGCCATGGCTCTGATGTATGAAGCAGTGTGACAAGGCAGGGAAAGTCTACTTCCTTTGTCACGAAACTTCTGAGGGAGAGTTGTAAAGAACATAAGCCTGCAGAGGAAGGCAGGAGCATGGTGTGGTAGACCCAGGAGCTCAGATTTGTTTCTCCTGTTGGCAGATTGGAGGAAAGAGAGTGACTTGGTCCAAATGCACTTAAGACAGACTGGGGAGGACTCTCCGAGGCAAATGGTGTCTGGGAAGCCAGTCATGATGTTGCTGCAACAGCCCGGGTAAAGTCCAAGTGCCTGAACACAGGCAAGAGTAGTACAAATGCTGATGGGGGACAAATGTGAACACTGCTTAAGAGCTAAGACCAGCAACACTTCACGAGTTAACAATCTTTTGCTTAAAATCTTAAAACTGCTCCTGTCGATACCCTGTAACCAATAGGACAAGAAGTAGGTAACAGGAGCAGAGGCAGTGAAAGAGAGGAAGGCACTGAGGATGTTCACCAGGCAGGAAGAGAAAGCTGAGAGGAAGTGGAATAACACAGAGGAATAGTATCTGTCCCCTGCCACAACCTCTTCTTGGAGCTGTACATTTACTTGGGGGCGGCACCAGGGGGCTTTAGGGATTGAACCCAGGGCCTTCACAGTAAACTATATGCCCAGACTCTTTAATTTAATTAATTTATTAATTAATTTATTTATTTTTCATACCAGGAATCAAGCTCAGGACCTTGCGCTTGCCAAGCAAGAGCTTGTGAAGCTGAGCTACATCCCTAGGATCACAGGCTAAGAAGCTACAGATGTTTATGATAGGTAAGTCACTAGAAATTCCATGCACTTCTTTACCTTTGTGGTGAAAACAGGTTAAAAAAAAAAAAAAAAATATATATATATATATATATACACACACACATATATGGCCCTCTGCTTATTATAAGTAAAATTCTGTTGGAACATGGCCACACCCATTTGCTTATGCATCATCACCCATAGCTGCTGCTTGTTCAAATGACAATTACAAATCTGTTACAGAAACCATAGGGCCCACAAAACCTAAAAGATGTACTACTTAGCACTTTTTGACAGCCCTTGAACTAGAATAGTGAAAAGAATGGCTTAAAAATTGGAACACAGTCCTCAACTCTCCGTATCTACATTCCTTAAAATTCAACACCAGCAGCAGGAAGCAGATATAAGGTAAGAACACCCTATGCTTATGTGCTCTTACCTACCAATTACCTTAATAAATACAACAGTAATAATTCTTTTTTTCAATTCAAGAAGTCTGGGTTGCTTCTTGGTTTGAAGTCTTACTAGACACAACTAGAGTATAACACACTTTCTAATTTTATGGCTAGTGTATTAGGGTTCTTCAGAGAAAAGAAACATACACACGTACACCTCTCTTACTAGAAAGATTTACTTTACATGTGCAGTTCATGTAATTATGGAAGCTGAGAAATACTGTGATTTGCTTGCTGCAAGCTGGATTGGTCAAAGCCCTGAGAAGCAGAGAGCCAGTGGTGTAGATTCCAGTCAGAATCTGAAGACCCTAAATACCAACAGTGACGATGGCAGAAGACTGATGTCACAGCTGAAATGAGCAGGTTGAACCTTTCTCTGCATTTTTGTTCTATTCAGGCCCTCAGTGAACTGGATCATGTCCATCACACCAAAGAAGACCAATTCAAATACTAATCTTTTCTAGAGCATGTCTAGAAACAAGATTTAGCCAGACAGCTGGGAATCCCAGCTCTAGTCAAGTAAACAAATAAAATTAACGATCACAACTACATAATGTGAGGCAATGGCGATCATAATAAATAATTACTGTACGTGAAAGCAACTGGATCCTCCTTACCATGGACAAGAGTCTATTGATGGCCACCGCCCGCTGTTGGGCTTCTATATGAGGCATTTCATTCTGAATTACTTGGTCTGTGATTCCATGAGGAAACTGGTGACATAATTCTATAATCCTAGAAACAAAGGTTTTAATAATATATCATGTTTACTTGCTTCAAGGAGTAGTGGAGAAAAAACACAAGTAAAACAGTTTGAAGTTGTGCCTTTTTCCACATTTAGCAGACAATCTAGCTTTCTATGTCAGCTCTTAACCAAAGCAAGTTAAAAACTGAGAAAGATACTAAGTGCTCTTTAAAGAGGATTCTTCTATTCCTCACAAATAACAAACTTTAAATTAGAACCAAATCTAACAAAAATAGAAAAACTTCAGTTTTATCAGCTGGAATATGAAAAAGTTAAGTCATAAGTCTGTAAGCAGGAAGTAAACATGGACATTTCTGGTGGGAATCCAAATTTGTCACAGTAACTCACCATAATGGGGGCTTGTTTGGCAGATTATGCCTACCAAAGAAGTCCAAATCTTGTCTTTGGGTCAATAAATAGGTTATTCGTGACATAATGACAAATTTGGGCTCTTTCAAAACTATTAAAAGACTAAAAGAAAAAGTGGTATACTACTGAGAGGCTTTAGGGGCGCCACAATCCTGACTTGAACAATCCAGCGAAATCACCCGGCATACTGTTGCTTTTCACAAACTGCACTCTAACTTCATCCAAACGTTCTGTTGTGAGAATTACACAGAATCCTGGACTACAACATGAATCCACAAGCACTACGGGAAAAACGTGTCTTCTGTCATGCAACTGCCTGCCTTAACACAGAGGGAATGCAACATCACAACTTCCAGGTTCCGGGATAACGCTACGAGCGACATTCGTTTGGAACTTCCTGCGTTCTGCTCTTCAGGAAGGGGAGTTGTGTGTCCAGAATCACTGTCCCGCGTACTCTTCGAGCCTCGACCGGCCTCTTTAAAGAACTCCTAAAGAAATGGTCTGCCGCCTGCGCGGGGTCCCGAATCCGGATCTGAGCCTCAATCGTTTACCTGTTTTCTATTTCCACCGGAACCGCGTCGGGCGTCTGCACCTTTACCTTCACCTCAGCCATTAAGGCGCAGTTCTCGGCCGTGGAAGGACGACACCCTCCTAAGAAGCCAGCCAGGGAACCACAGCAGCCTGAAGAAACAGCTCCAAGCCGGGATTGAGGGGGCCTTCCTGGTCGAGTCGCAGCCGGTCTTTTCTTGCCTGTCGGCCTTAGGCGGCCAAGCTGTGCCTGCTTTGCGTCACTCGCCGGAGCCGCTACAGCTTCTTATTCGTGGTCAGGATAGCAGTATCTGTCGGACAGAGAACCCTGTTCAGTCATGCTTAAAGGAGACGGCGCCTGTCCGCGCTTTTCAACCTCTGTGAAGGCATATTCTTGGATGCCTATGGCAAAGCCGACCCGAAGGAGCTCCGGAGGGTACCAGTCACCCCGCCCGGAGGGGAGGGCGGGGCTAGTTGCTAAGAAGCGGGTTTTTCCGCCAATCATCTGTCCAGCTCCCAGTGGGCGCGCCGCACCTTGCAGCGTCTGTGGTAACCCGGGCAGTGGCGAAAGAGAAAGCTAGAAGAGGTGAGGGGCAGAAGGCCGGTTCAGGGGGTGTTGGGGGTGGCCTCGGGACTTCAGATCTCGGTCTCCGCTGCTGGAGAAGGGGGAGGAGGGCCATCGTCACTCCAAATGAAGGATGCAGGCGTCCTTGACCGTCCCAAATGGGCCAGGGCGGAAGACCAGACCGGGTCCTGCATTTGGGTGGCGAGGAGAGGGTCCAGGTGGAGGGACTGGAAGGTGGAGGTGGGTGCTGTCGTCTGCATCTGCAGTTAGCATCTAGAATCAGCTTTTTTCTCCCCTTTGTTTAAGGACCAGTGGCCACCCCAACCTCTTAAGGTCAGTCACAGTCGCCACGCATGAATTACTCTCTCCTCCCTATGTTTATTTCTAACTAATTTTCATTTTTATTGCAACCCCTCCCACTTCAATGGCAATGGATGAGCGAGTTCCCCCATGTCCCGCCACAATGCTGCGAGCCCTGGTGCTGCACTGTCAGCATCCGCAGTTTGTATTCTTCCAACAGGATCCGTCCTACCAGAGGATTAAGGCCCTCTTCAGACTCCTTGTCCTACTCTTGAGAATACAGCGCGCTCAAACGCAAGCCACTGAGCGGTGCAGAGCAGCACTGTTAGCGTTGCCACAAGCAATATCAACATGATGCTCGCAAGAGTCTAAATGCCTAGTCACAAATTCGTAAGTTTACGTACATGGAAATTGTAAATAATAAAATGTGCAGAAAGTAGACTAGAGCTAGTTGTGGTGGTGCATGCGTATAATCACAACACTCTGGGAGGCTGAAGCAGGGTGTTCAAAAATTCCAGCCTAGATGGGCACTGTGGTAGACAACTCTAATTCCAGCACTCAGGAAACTGAGGAAGGAAGATCACCACCATTTCCAGGCCAGCCTGGACTATGTAGGAAGACCCTGTCTCTAAATAAATAAATGTTGCAGCCCACACTTGGTGAGACTGTCTCAAAATAAAAAAGAAAGAAAGAAATGTTTGTAAAAGGGCTGGAAGCCAGGCATGTTGGCACACTCCTGTAATCTCCACACTTAGGAAACTGAGGCAGGGGTATTGCCATGATTTGGAAACCAGCCTGTGCTACAAAGCAGGGCCCTACTCAATCACCCAATCAATCAATCGATCGATCAATCACATTTCATGTTGCACACAGACTTGCTTCTGTTTACCTTGTGTGATGAATTCCCCTGATATCGAAGAGATGGCCATTAACCAAAGGCAAGAACAGGCTTCAAGTTTCCAGAAGAAACTGAGGTCATGAAATTAGTGGTACTCTCTGTTCTGCATTAGTCATGTACTTATTTTTATTTTAGGGTTTTTTTGAGGCAAGGACTCATTATGCTGTCCAAGCTAGCCTTGAAGTCACTATATAATCCAGCCTAGCCCAATGATCCTCCTGCCTCAGCCTCCCAAGTGCTTGGATCACAGATGTATGCCACCATACCTGGCTGCTACTTAGTCATTTAAAGTAACTCTTTCCCTCTATCATTCCTCCTTCTTGCTTAGAAGAGAGATATTTATTTATTTATTTATTTTTGGCAGAACCCAGGATTGAACTCAGGCCCTTGCACTTGCCAGGCAAGTGCTTATTCTACTGAGCTATCTCCCCAGCCCTAAAAGTGAGATATTTAGACAAATCCCCACACAAGTTCTCATCAGCAGCTGAGCGTGGTGACACATACCTGTAATCTCAACACTTGGGGAGCTGAGGCAGGAAGACCGCCACAAGTTTAAGGCCAGTCTGGCTATGTAGTAATTTCAAGGCAGGCCTGAATTGCGTAGTGGGGACCCTGTCTAAAAAAAAAAAAAAAAAAAAAGACATGAGAAAAATGAAAACACAAAAATATTATTAATAAATGAAAATACTTTTTATAAATCCACATCTTCAATGCTCCACAGAGACTTGCTTTCCTAAAGTTTGTAGCAAATTTATATTTTCTAAATACATTTATGTTTTAACTGAAACATAAAAGTTCTAAAGACATTTGTATTTTTTTAATTTTATTTATTTGTGTGTGTGTGTGTGTGTGTGTGTGTGGCCAGCTCAGCCCACCAGGGGGCGGGGCTGGCTGGCATGTGGTGCTGGGGGATTGAACCTTGGTCCCTGTGCTTTGCCAAGCTTGTTCCAAATGGGTGCTTTAGACCACTGAGCCATCTCACCAGCCCCATTTATAGTTTTATAAATATTGTGTGAAGAAAATTTTTTTCTCCTTGCTTTATGTAATCTCACAGTTTGAAATAATTTTCTAACTAAAAAAGAATCCTAAAAAAAAAAAAGACCAAATCAGCAAAAATGCAGCTAAAATGCAATCATTATTGCAATTTTAAAAAATGGGCTGATATTGGCAGGTGGTGTAGTAACAATGTTGCCTTTAGAGCTTACTAGTGCTGCTGTTATTTTTTGCAGAATGGCATTGATTTTCATCTAGGCTTTTGACTTAAGGAGGGACCATGACGGCCGGTTCCGTGTGTGCTCCTCAGATCATACCACTGCGAGTGCCTCAGCCTGGCAAAGCGAACCATGAAATCAATACTAACACTCTTTTGGAAATGAAATCAGGTAGGAATATCATGGATTTGAAATGAGTTTTTAAAAAACCTTACAGTATTCTTTGTGTTCCTGCAGTTGCTGCTCGATCTCTGCATGCTTTCTTTAATCAGGAATTAGGAAGATGTAATACTTGCGCAGTTCAAACAGTGTTGCCCTTTGGTGGCTTATAAAAGGACACATATTTAGATAAAAATGGTTGGTGATGACTAAGCTTTCGCCTCTACAGGTGTAAAGGGGCGGCGGCAGCATGACTCAGCAAAGGAAAGATGTCTAGTTGCTTCCACACGCTTTCCCAGGGATAAAGTATCTGTCCTCCTAGTATAAGCTGCTATGTTAACTTCTAACAGGCTTAGAGATTGAGTCCACGCTTTGACAGCTTCTAATAGCTTCAAGCACAGGGCAGTCTTTCTGAATTCCAGTTTTCTCACAGTGAGATGAGCACAGTCGTATTGACCACTTAGAGCCACTATGATGATGAAATGGGTTGGTACACATGTGAAGTGCTCAAGGTATAGTATTTACTTATTTATTTTATTTATTTTTTGTATTTTAGGGAAGGGCCTACAGGGCGTTCATGGTCTCACTACTAGATCGGACTCATAGCGATCCGCCTGTTTACAGCCTCCCGTGAGCTGGGATTACAGGCACGTGCCACCACGCCCAGTCTCAGTTGCCATCTCAGCAAGCCCCAGGGACAGGGCTGGCACAGCAGGCCTCCCTGGCCCCTGTGCCTGCTTGTAGGAGCTTTAATCCACTGAGCTATTTGACTGGCCCGATATAGTATTTAATAAAAGAAATCTTTTCTTTTTAAGAAATCTTAACTATTATTGCAAAAATAAAGTATAGATTATATTTCCTGGTAATATTTATTCTTCAAACTTTTTTTTTTTTTTTTTTGGCAGAACCAGGGATTGAACTCAGGCCCTTGCGCTTGCCAGGGAAACGCGTATTCCACTGAGCCATCTCCCCGGCCCTCTTCAAATTCTTAAATGTATTTATGACATATATGTGTGTGTATACATACATGTATGTATGTATTCATATGTACTTTGCATAGGAAACCTTCATTAAATAAAACATGAACAAATATTTGTATTAAAAGGCTTAGATTCCAGAGCCAGGCATGGTGGCACACGCCTGTAATCTGAGCACTGTAGAGGCTGAGGCAAGAGGATAGTTGTGAGTTTGAGACCAGCCTGGGCTACAAAGTGAGCTCAAGGCTAGCCTGAATTGCATAGTGACATCCTTTCTCAAAAAGACAAAAAAAAAAAAAAAAAAAAAAGACTTAGATTCCAGTTTTATATGTTAATAACACATATATATACAGATGACTTACCTGCACTAGTGCTTCCTAGACCAAGAAAGAATTCCAGTGTAGTCTGTTGCACTAACCCGGTGATGGCGAACCTTTCACAGACCCAGTGCCCAAGCTGCCACCCCAAGCCCACTTCTTTGTGGAAAAGTGCCAACATGGCAAATAAACCTGAATACTGAGAGTTTAGTTGAGAAAAAACAATCATACATTAATATATTTTATTTTTAAAGAAAAACACAATATCAGAGCTGTAAGTGATACAAACAACTTTTTTTTTTTTTTTTTTTTTTTTTTTTTTTGGTCTTTTTGAGACAAGATCTTGCTAAGCAGCTCAGGCTGGCCTTGACCTCACTTTGTAGCCTAGGCTTGGCCTTGAACTCATAACTGTCCTGCTGCCTCAGCGTCCTGAATGCTGGGATTATAAGCCTGCGCCACCATGCCCAGCTTCAAACAGCTTTTTCTTGAAGGTAAAAATTGGCATTTGCTGTGTTTCTTTGCACTGTTGTCCCATGCTCAGCTGCTGGGACAATGCTAGGTGACAGAGAGGGCTTCGTGGGCTCACTGCAGCACACACACCATAGGTTCCCCAGCACTGCTCTGTACTATGTTTTGAAACTTAATATGAAAAAAACTATAAAATAATGTCTAATTTTTTAAAAAATCATAAGCAAAGATAAAATTATAATATGATACTTATAGCTCTGAAGAGAGATTATATAATTACAAATGATACTATGACTAATAGGCTACCCAAATTCTTTAACATTTAAATGTCAAATAAAAAGGTTTCATAATTCAGTGCCCAAAACAAAAATAACCCTATAAAAAAAATGGACAAAGGCTGTGAAAATGCATTGTATAAGAAAGAAAATAGAAATATTGGGCTGGTGGGATGGCTCAGTGGTCTAAAGCACCTACTTGGAACAGGCTTGGCGGAGCACAGGGACCGTGGTTCAATCCCCCAGCACCACATG